CCTGCTGGCCCCAGTAACCTTACCTGGGGGCCTCCTGGGGCAGCAGTGGTGCCAGTCCAGCCACATGGAGCCTGGCCAGCAGCTACAGCATGGCTCTGGACAGCTAGGCTCTGTTTCCGGCGGTGCATGCTGCTGCCATGTATGCCACACCACTTCTTTTTTGTGGCTTTTTTTGTTTGTTTGTTTTTTTACACTGGGATCTCCCGGTGTCAAATTTTGGTGCCACGCTGCTAATTAGCAGCGTGGTGAATGGGTACATATGCACATCATGCGGTTTGTACTGCCTCAAACAGTTTTGAGGTGGCACAAACTACAGGTATGCACTCATCAGGATGTGCCCCTGGAGTTCAATCATTTTACACCCAATAAGGAAAGTACTACTGAGAACATTCACTCTTTTTTTACCTCTTAGCAACTGTGCCTTATGTTTTTAGCCAACCCCTGTTAACCCTTCAAAAACTGTAAAATTATTAAAAACAAAATACATTAATCTATACCACCTGGTGTATACCATCTTGAAAATCACACTTAGTACTAAGTGCTTACAGCAGGAGATCAAAAGAACTTTCTCCAAAGACCTAACAGCCCAGACCAAGTGTCTACCATCAGGTTCCTTAAAAGTACCAGTTCAAATTCCACCAGGCTGAATCATGAAGTAAATAAATTAAGTATAGCATGTATTTCAAGTGCTTTTCAAGTGCCTCTGTTGAGAGAAAATGCCAATTTGCTTTATATGGAAGCACATCCTACAATCAAAGGGGCTTACACTGATGTCCTCAGCCAATATTTTTCTGCACCCAGTACTGTGACACATTGCTCAACTACTAGCCTCTATCCTACAGATATCTGCCCACTTCTAATAACTTGTGAGATGTACTATGACCAATTACAATGAAAGATGCTGTGTGCCACTTAAATGCGCTAACAAAAAAAAAGGTTTGAGTTAAAACAAAACTAAACCAAACCAAATGATTGTCCTAGACAGCTTCCTAATTGTACTACTAGGAAGAGACTGTAATGCAATATTTGATGCTTGGCTGGATAACTCAAGATTCCCACCTCACATAAAATTGCTTACTGGAGCCCTGGTGAGCCACTATTCCCAGCCAGGCCTGAGGGGAAATGTGAAGCATACTGTATCCTTCAGTAAGATAATACACTTGTTATTCTGGAACCGAACCTTCTTGTTTTCCCCCGAGACAGACATGTTTGGCAGAGCTCAGAGGCATCGAGATATAACCATGAATACAGCATCACTGTTATAATATTATACTCTGCTGAGTTTTAAAATTTTATTCAAAGCATTCAAAGCAGACAGTCACTTTATCATTTTCTTTTATTATTCATTGTTACAGGTTAATTTTAAAAAGCTGGCAAGTCAATTTACTACTCACGAATTTGAGGAATTAATAGCATTGCCTCAAAATCAGATATAGTGTGGAAAATCTATGCCAGTTTTCCAGACAGATCTGCCAGTACACCCTTTTTTCCCCATCCTGTGACTCTGCTGAACAGAGAATAATGATTATATCAAGAGACTGTGATTTGCCTAAACAGAAAATTGTGATGAAAGCCAAGGTTTTAACTTAGATTATGAGGTACTGTGATAGTTCACTGCAATAGTTGCTGTAATAATTCACTATCTGATACAACTTTGAGACTGCGGCACCCTTTAAAAATCAGTTCTGCGATTAGTTTAATATGATACATAGAAAGGCAGCAAAACATTTTAGATATGGATATGTTGCAAGTGAATTTTGGTAGTTATGTCAATATCAAAATAATAAAGAATGTTTGGGCAATCAATACTGCTAGAGGAAAATGAAGATCACAGATTTCAAAATAGATATTTCACAAACAACAGCAACGAAGATTATTAACAGTTTTTGTGCACAGACAGGAATGGATGCTCCAAGATAAAAAAAATCAGAAATGAGTCAAATACCATGGTTTATTTTCAGACAATGTGGTTATGTCAAAGCCAAAACAGTGTGCCAAATGGCAAAATCTTCAAAATATACAGGACTCTAATGGGAGCCCCTTTTCTTTTGAGTATTATACTGTACTAACAAGATGATGTCAATCTGCAAACTGGTCCATTTGAAAACACGAACCTGAAGTACAGCTGGGCAGGAAACTGTTTTCCTTTCTCATGAATATTTAAAAAAAACAAAACACCTCCTAACCTAAACAGAGGAGAAGATGAAATCTTGAAAACTCCCCAAAGACAAAAAACCTGAAAAATATTAGTTTGTGTCAGCTGGAGGAGAAAGAGATGTGTGAGATAGGAACACTTAAAGTCACTTTTAAAAAAAGCATGCTTTATGTATCCAAAAATTGAGGACAAAGATTTTTTTGTTCCAGTTCTTTAGTTTCCTATTGTGTGTGAAAACCCTTTCTACAGCTCCTAATATTCATTGCTTTCCAGAATGCTGGCATTCCAATAAGAAACAATGCAGCCAGATTATAAACTAACATCCACTGCTGTCTTAATCAAAAAGAAAGATTAGAGTAATAATAGATAACTGCATAGACTAGAGTGATCATCAGCAACTCTACCAGTGTATTAAACTGAAAACACAAAAATAATTTGATCACTTTTGAAAGGATGTAGAATTTGGAGGCCAAAAAAAAAAAAAAAAAAAAATGCTGCTGTCTTTCAAGGTGCTCTCCTTGAGGTTGTAAGAAGTTCAAACTTTCCCTGGGGAGGCTTCAATTTTTATGCCAAAGTCTGAGAAATGGTCAGAGTTTCTCTCTTTAGCAGTACTGACCTGCTCCTTCCATAAGCATTTAAGGTGGTTGCTAGTGTTAGCACTGATAGCAGGCTTACAGTACTGGAAGTGA